GACTAGGTGATCCCGATGACTGTATGAAATGTGCTGCACAGGGAGTTGGGGATCAGCTCTTGTTGCTGGGGCCCATTTGCACTCCCTGTAGACCTTTCCTCCTTATTTGCTTAATCTCGGTCCCTTGAGGGCTCAGTTTCTGAGGTTTTGTTTGTATTTTATTTTCTTGTGTGTGTGCTCATCTTAATTTTCCCCTCTGTATCTTCTGCCTTGGAATGGAGGCTCCTTTGGGTGTAGGGTGCCATGTCCTACAAGAACAGCTTCCCAAGACATCCTTCAACCCAGGCCTTCCTAGGCCTGCAGCCGAGCAAGGCAAGGCCATGTCTGCCTCCTTTCACATGAGTGCCAGTTTGGCACTTTGCTGTCCAGCAGGTGGAACTCTCCTGAAGCCCTGCATAGCCTCTGTCCTCCTGCCCCTCTGGAAATTTCACCCACCAATGTCCACTTCCTGTAAAAATGAGCCATGAGTTTGTCCCTGACTGACTCAACTGGGGATGGTGGGGGGAGGGAGGTGGGCAGGGAACGGCTTCCACTCAACCCTGCACCTGGGTAGCAGGCTCCAAGCCAGAGCAGGCATTCATGAGCCGTGAACTTTCCACCAATAAATCCACGATGCTTCCGGCACCTGCCTTTCTGCCTCACTGGCTACCCTCAGCCACCTGCCAGCTAGAGGCTCAGTGTTGACAACAGCTAACAGAGAGCCAGTCACAGGGATGAGGCCAGGGCCAGGACCGCAGTCTCCCAGAGCACGCATGAGAGTGACAGCAAGCAGGCTACCTGGCAGGATGCGGAGGCCAACACTCAGATGTGGATGAGCAAGGCAGGACTCGTTCCTGGTCATGGGGGCCACAGCTAGACTCAGCCTTCAGGCATTTGGCCAGACTTAACACCCTGTATGGGCCAGGGCCTTTTTAGGCAGAAGTGACAAACACCAAACTCAGACAACTCTATTAGTTTCCTGGGGCTGCTGTAACAAATTACTCAACCTTGGTGGCTTAAAACAATACAAACTTGTTCTCACAGTTCTGGAGGCCAGAAGTCCGAAATCATGGTGTTGGCAGGGCTGCACTCCCTCCAGAGGCTCTGGGGGAGACTGTTCCTGGCCTCTTCTAGCTTTTGGCAGCTGTTGGCATTCCTTGGCTTGTGGCTGCATCCCTCCAGTCTCTACCTGTCTTCACGTGGCCCTCTCCTCTGTGTGTGTGTCTCATCTCCCTCTGTCTCTCTCTTATAAGGATGCATGTGACTGCATTTAGGGCCCACTCGGATAATCCAGGATAAGCACCTCCTCTCAAGATCCTTAATCACATCTATTGCCATATAAGGTCACATTCGCAGGTTCCAGGGATTAGGGTGTGGACATATCTTTGGAGACACCATTCAGCCCACTATAGCAACAAAACCCTCAGAAAGTTGACTGGCCCAGGGGTGGCAAGACGGTGGCCTTTGCATGCCACAACGCCTCACCCTCCTCTTAGTTTTCTCCTTAGAGCTGGCTGGGTCCACGCCCAGGATGGCGTCAGGCCTCCCACACAGAAATGTGCACTCTGGGAAAAAAGAGAGCCGGGAAACGGGCCCTGTGACCTTTCATTTTCCCCTGCACAGTCTGATGTCAAAGAGGCTCCGTCAGGTAAACTCTTGCTTGAGTCAGAGAAGTGCTGCAGGAAGCCGGCCAGCTGCCAGTGAACAGTTTCGCTATTTTCAAGTAGGTTCTGCTCACTTTTATCTTCCCAATCTTTGGGAAGGTATATGCCTGTATTTTACTCTATCTGAGCAAAAAATGAGTAGTCGAGTTTAACACACTCTCACACAAGGCAAATCATTTAGCAGACATTTAATTCTGCGTTTGAGCCACCAGGCAATCATGGTGAGCAGGGCAAGGCGATGCATTCACTTCCCTGCCCCACCCCCAACACACACACCATCCCTCCCCAGCCCACTTACAGGTGTCCATTCCCATGCAGGTGTAGGTGCATATTGAGAATATACCTTCTTAGGAAGTGAGAACAGGTTGGACTCTGAGCTTCACTCTGTCCAACACCTTCTTTTTTTCCATTGGAAAACTGTCCCTCCAATTCCATGTGATCCTGGTAGACTGATGTCACTCCCTAGGTCACTGGAAGAGGCTTATAACCCATGCTGGGCCCACCAGGGTCCTGCCAGGGACATTCCATGAATGCTGGGAAAGAGAGGTGCCTTTTTCTGCTGAGATTGCTAAAAGGAGAGATTGCAGATCTCTGGAGAGATCATAGAGGCTGCTGGTGACATTCCTACCTACCCCGTGGTAAGAGCCTGCGTGGCTGCAGAGGGAAGCCATGCACAGACCAGCAGGGGCAACATCATTCGAACTCCTGGAGAAAAGCTGTGCCTGAAACCTGAACTGCTCAGACACATGCTCAAGCCAGTTTGATTTGTGTTTGGCTCCGATCAGGAGAGTACTGGCTGAAGCTGGGAGGCTGGCTGACATCTGCCACAGGCAGTGTCTGTGGGTTTGGTATGAGTTGCTACGTACACAGTCTCAGAGCTGGTGGCTCTTTTTCTGGTCAGGACAGCCCCAGGCCTGAGCTTTGGTGTGGTCTGTACCTAACCCCTGTGTCTTAGGTTAGGTTCTGCAGAAGCTGAGCCCAAGACAGGGATTCTCAGGCCATGATATAATGGAGAGAGTGGACTCAGAGGAACCTCTGAGTGAGGGAGCTAGGAGGGGGCAGGGGAAGGAGCTGAACTAGGATGTGGTCTCAGCTGGGATCTAGGGGGAGCTCTGGAGCATGAATGGCACACAGAATTGTCCCCCGCTTAGGCAAGCAGACCAGGCCTTTGTACCCCTGCCTCAGTCATTGACTGCAGTCTGCCTCAGGGAGCAGAGTGTAACCTTACAGGCATTTCTTCTAGAGGAAGGGACAGCTGAGAGCTGGGAGCAGTCAACATTCCTGGCAGCTTGGGGATGGGTTGCACCGGCCCAGAAAGGTCTCTGAGCAAGGCACCAACAGCCTCCACTTGCCTGTTTCATGGCCCCTGCCAAACCTCAACTAGATTTGAGAAGGAGCTGCCTGGAGACATGGTGGCCCTTCACTCATCGGAAGTCTCCAAGCTTTTGAGGAAGAAGGAGGCGGGCAGAAGGCTTAGTACCTGGCCATTGTTCTGCCTTCTCCTCTTCAAGTTCCTCTGCAGAACTGCAGTTTAACGCAATGCCCTCAGCATTCGCTGGGTCCACACCGGCCACACGCATACATGGAGTGTTTGTAAAAACCTTTACGATAAATTTCCTCAACTCCAGGAAAGAATTCAACTCTCCACATGGATAGAAGCAGTTAGAATATGCAGGAATAAAAAACAAACCCACCATCACCCCTTCTTTCAAGTGTCTGTCGGGGCCGGGCTCTGTGAGCATTGAGGTGTGGCTCCCCTAAGTGAGTACCCAGGGTGATCCTGGGGCTCCCAGGCACCCCAGAGGTGGGAGTGTATCAATCAGGGCCTATGTTTGGCTGCAAATAACAGCAACCTGGGGAGAAACTGGTTTAAACAAGTTAGACGTAATCATTTTTCTCACATAATGAAGAGTCCAGAACGAGGCAGATGGAGGCCGGTGCAGTGGCTCGACAATGTTGTGTGGCTCCATTTTCAAGATGGTGCCCATACCCCCAGGCATTGCCACCAAGTTCCAGGCAAAAACTGGGGAGAGTTGAGGCTAAAAGCTGAAAGGACCGGTCAACAAGTCTGTTCCTGTTTAAAGAGCTCTCCTGGGGTGGGCCCTGTGGCTTAGCGGTTAAGTGCGCCAGCCCCACTACTGGAGGCCTGGGTTCAGATCCCGGGCGCGCACCAATGCACTGCTTGTCCGGCCATGCTGAGGCGGCGTCCCACATACAGCTACTAGAAGGATGTGCAACTATAACATACAACTATCTACTGGGGCTTTGGGGAGAAAAAGAGGAAAAAAAAAAAAAAAGGGAGGAGGATTGGCAATAGATGTTAGCTCAGGGCCAGTCTTCTTCAGCAAAAAGAGGAGGATTGGCATGGATGTTAGCTCAGGGCTGATCTTCCTCACAAAAAAAAAAAAAAAAAAAGAGCTCTCCTAGAAGCCTCATCTGTGAATCCTACTCATTGGCCAGGACTGTGTCACATGACCACACCCTGTAGCTGCAAGGGAGGCTGGGAAATGTAGTTTATCTGAGTACTAGCAGGGAAAGCAAGAATAGACAAAAGCAACCAAAATCCCTGCCACTAAGACCTGATAGTTGTTTCAGTTTGGCATCTGTAGGTGAGGAGACGGAGCCCAGCGAGGTCCTGAGGTCATCTGAGGTCACACAGGCCAGCAGAGGCACACCCTGTGGCCATCCCTGGTCTCCAGGCTCCCAAAACATAGATCACATGAAAACAAGGTCAGTCTCAGTGCATGTGGATTTATTGAGCTGTCGATGCCATTCCTAGTGCTGCGTGAAACCATGGGGAAGACAGCCATGTGGCCAGTGCAATGTAGGGGACTGGATTCTCACTCCTGGTGGTGCCCACCAAGCAGCATATCCTGGACAGGAAGCATTCTGCCAACGTTAATCATGGGGCGGAGGTGGCTATCATGATGGGTGGTGCCGAACTGGGAGGGTGCCACGAAAGTCTGCAGTATTAGGGGGAGTTTTGCCTGCAAGTGTACAGATGCACTCCTTAGAGCATGATCTGCTTGGAGGGCTGATAAAATTTCCCAGAATTCTGGGAGTTTGGATGGTGTCTGACCTTCTCTAGTTGATGTAGGGCCCTGGTGAGGCCTCAGCTACACAGATGACCCCTGCCCATGCCTACACTCTGGGAGACCCCAACAGTTCCAAGGTCTCTGGAGAAAGGGAACTACAACCAAGAAACCTCTGAAAGGGAAACCTTGGGCTTTGCAGTCAGGCCCTCAGCCTACAGCCCCTGCTCCAAGGTACAGGTACATAGGGTGTCCAGACCTGCAAAGGGGAACGGGGAGAGAGCAGTCCCCTTTCAGTGGAGCAGTAGGCCACAGACATGGCCCAGTACTCCAGGCAGCGTGGGACAGTTGGCTGTGTTGTCCGAGGTCTGCTGTCCTAGTCACAGCAGGGGCTGGAGAGCCAGGACAGGGAGCATGGAGAGCAGGGAGCTCCCCTCCAGGGGCCTGTCTGCCGAGGACACCTTGGGGAGTGGGAGCAGAGCGTGGACTTGAGGCAGAAGCCTGGCTCTGCTCTCTGCCTCCACCCCCATCCCAGGCCATTCATGCCTCCATGGAGGCCCACCTGGCATAGCAAGGTGGAACGAGGCCCTGCAGGGGCTGCCAGCTCACCATCCCCTCCCTGTACCTACCTGTAGGAGGCTGTGTCCAGGGTCCTGGAGGGAGTCCAACTGGTCCTGCAGGATTGGGGGCCACCAGCTGTCAAAGGCCTGTATAGCGCCATCTATGAAGAGAGGGGTGCAAGGCAGGCTTGGGAAATCCTAGCTCAGGGCCCAGCTCCTCCGGGAAAAACTGAGAGACCCCTGGCATCCTGCCTGGGCCCTCACCACACAGGGACGGGAGGATAGGATGTCTGCAAGGATGGGCTTCTGGGACACAAGGCACAGGGTAAAGAATGATGAGGACAACTGTGCTAAGAGTGCCTTACAAACTGTACAGCCTTCCATCCTCACAGGGGAGGGTGACAATTATCTTCTCTATTTTACAGATAAACACAAAAAGGCTTAGAGCAGTTAACTAACTCGCAGCTAGTAAGTGGCATAGTGGAGCTTCAAACTCAGGCCCCCTAACTCACACACTGGGCAGCGAACCACCGAGCTATTCAGACTCGAAAGGCAAAATTATCAGTAGGGGGAGGCAGGAGTGCCTCATCTGAAGCAGGAATCCCGCCTTGTTCCATTCCAGGCCCTCGGAAACTTGTTTTAACTGCCCTCCCACCTGCCCGCAGGGGCACCCGCCAAGACACCCCTGGGCTTCTACTTTGGTCTGTGACCTGGTCTCTGGAGACAGCTGGGCACAGATTCCCCGAGGGGCAGAACGACAGCAGAGGGAGATGTGGGCCTGCATGACAGCCGCAAACAGCCTCAGTTTCCTCATCTCTAAAATGGGCTCCATAGCCAGGCGGCTTGGGAGGGGGCAGTAAGCGTGGACTGGACTCCCGCGTCGCCCCGCCCGGGCCCCTCACCCAGACACCGGTTCCTCGTAAAGAGCCCCCGGAAGGCTTCACACTCCTCACGCCGGTTTCCGCTGGCTCCGCAGTCGCACCAGGGTGCCACACGCGCGCTCGCGTTGTCCACGTAGTTGGGGGTGACGGCGGTGCCTGCGCGGACCCAGAGGGCGGAGTAATCGGCCCACCTGGGCGAAGGCACCCCCGAGAGAGCCCGCGGCCGCGGCCGCGCCGGGATCCCGGCCGTGCGTACCCACGAGGCCTGCGTAGGCGCGCAGACAGCTGGGAGCCTGGTCCGGCAAGCAGCCGTCTGGGGCGCCGGGGGCGGGCGAGCAGGAGGCCTGGAAGGCCAGGAGGCGGGGCCTGCGCAGCGGGCGGGCGGGAGGGCGGTG